AGTATTATTCATGCTTATAAAATGTATAATGGTTACAAACCTTTAATAACATTACTTATTCTTGATGTATTCTCAATATTTTGATTACTTGATTTACCAATATCATCAACTAAGAAATAATTATAATTATTAATACTTTATTATTAAATAAAATTAAATGTAATTCTAAAAATACCTACTATTATCAGGAATACTAAAGTCATGTAATTTACTATGAAATGCTATTTTAAAAAGATATTTTTAAAATTATTATTAATTAATGATTACAGATAATATAAAAATTTATTAGTTTTATATTACCTTCTTGTTCTCCTATTATTATTTAATTTAAAAATAACAATTAATAATAATCATGTTAAAAACAAAAATTAAATAGTTAATAGTTATTAAATAATTAGTATACCTTCTGTTGCATTTTTTGGTTCAGGTAAATTTTCGAATGTATGAATTTTACTTGTAAATAATTTACTGTTCATATTATTACTTATTTCTTTATTCACTTTTGGTATTGTTTTAGGTAATTCATTTGGATTATTTTGATAATATGACTTAATTTTATTCATCTTTTTATGAAGTGTATCAATATCAGGCCTTTCTAATGGATTAGCGTCCCAACATTGTTCCATTAAACTTTTATATTCTGAAGGAATTTCTGAAATAATTTTTGGTCTTATGCCATTAATGATATTAATTGCAAGATTACAATCATGCTCATAATTTATAAATGGTGGTTGTCCAAATGAAATTTCCCACATAAGCATTGCAATACTGTAAATATCAGATTTAAAAGTATATCCATTTCCATTAATAACTTCAGGAGCTATGTAAGGAAGATTTCCATAAATGCTTGTTGATGGTTTGTCTGCAGGACCACAAAATCCAAGATCACTAATACGCCAATTATTATGTGACTGGGAATATAATATATTTCCAGAATGCAAATCTCTATGAATTGAATCCTCTTTATGAATATAATAAAGTGCATTAATTATCAAAAAAATAATATTAATTCTTTCGTTCCATGTAAGTTGATTATGATTTTGTGGTAAATATTCTCTTAAATTCATGTCATATTCATTCATTACAAGCAAATAATTTCCATTTGATGGATTTTGTGTTATACCATAACATTCAACAATTATTGCGTGTTTGTTGCTTATAATAAAATGCGATTTGGCCTATATAAAGCAGTAAATTTTATTAATAATTAAATTTAAATTTAAGTTCTTTTAAATATTTTTTAAGTTACAAACCTCTTCAAACCAACTTTGACTTGCATTTTCAACATTTCCTAATTCTTTAAGTATTACATATTGAGCTCCAAATCTTATTAATTGTTGTTTTTTAATATCCCATTCTTCATATTGTCCATCAATCCAATCTGCTGTATAAATCTTAGAGAATCCACCTTTTGTTAGATATTCAATGTTTTCTAAATTATTATATGGGATCCATTCAATTATTGCATTTGGTCCAAGTGTTTCTAATTGACAATTTTTTATTAAATTATCAATATTATTATTTCCAGATGTCCAGTTTGAGAAGTTTGCTTTTAAATAATTTCGAACACAATATTCACAATATAATATAGCTAAACATTTTTGATTACAATTTTCACAAATTCTTCTTGTTCCTGAATTATAATAAATTTTATCTGCGTCATAATTTTTATTATTTTCTCTTATTGCTTCAGTTTTTTCTTCTTCTGTAAAAGAATCATCAGCAAGAATTATTTGTTTCACAGACTCACGGTATTTATGAAAGTCATTAGTGTCAATTGATGTAAATGCTCTACTAAGCACTGCATAAATTAATTCTCGCCGAATATTAGACATTTTATAAAAAAAATCGACATTATTTTTTGCACTGTATTTTTATAATTAAAAAAAATGTTTCCATAGACGGTTAATTAAATAAGTGGTGTAACCAATAAAATTTTTAGTATTGTCTACTGATCTACCTGTCATGTGCCACATCATTTGTACTAAAAAGCATCATCTGATCAACACACAAATTGATAGGCTGCTATTAATAATATACATTTTTATTAAGTGAAAATAAATTTAATTCTTTATTTCTCATTTCTAAACGTATAAGATCATCACCGATAACCTGGATCTTAAAATTTTTTATTTTTTTGCTTTTTTTTGTATAGAAAATTGTAAAATATTTTAATGTACTACTTAATTTTTTACTTAACGTTTTTATTCAAAAAAAAAAATAAAGGATTTTGATAAAATATATATTGTATATTTGTTTTATATTAAGGATCCGATATATTGGGGAACGTTCTAGTATATTTGTAA